GTCTCCCCTCGGTGTATGTCTCTTTTTATTCTGCTGTTTTTCTAACTCAGGGGATTAGGTTTAGAACCCACCCTATGAGCAGGGGTAAGAAGAGACATGCAGGCTGAATGGGTGTGGGAGGGAGAGTATAACCACAAATATATATATATATAGGATATTTGTGCATGTATATTTAACTTTGCTGCAAATATATCCATGAATGTGGTTAAAATTTAAAAAAAAGGTAGTGAGAGAGTAGGTTTACGATCTACCCTACTTTGGCTCCAAATACTTGAAATACAATGCAATCCACACCACCACCTCATAGTTATTTTGTGAGTATTTAAATGGTACCTGCACCTGCAGTTCCAATAAGTGTTAGCGATTCTTATAATCCTGGAAAAGAGGCCACCTTTGGCTCCAGTGCTCTCCCGGGTCCCTATCCTTACATTCCTCTCCTGTCTACGGACCCTGATTGGTCCTGAGATGAGGGCTGTTAAGTTCTCAAATGGCTGAGAAATTTCCTTCCCACCTGGCTCCACATACACACTGAAGTAGACCAATGAGGTTAGTATCATATCCACCTCTGGGAGGCCTAAGGCAAGTGCGCTTGTCTCTCTGATCCTCGGTTCTCATATCTGCAAAATGAATAAGTCTAATATACCAGTTGCCATCAAGTTAGTTCCAACCTAGGGTGACTCTATATGTTTCAGAGTGTAACTATTCCTTAGGCTGTGATCTTTGGAGGTAGATCGCCAGGCATCTCTTCTAAAGTACCTCTGGGTGGATTTGAACTACGACCTCTACTTTGTAGCTGAGCACCTGTTTGCATTATCCAGGGAGCCAAAACCATCACATAAGCCATGACTAATGTGTTGCTTTGATGCTGGAAGCTATGCCACCAGTATTTTAAATACCAGCAAGGTCACCCATGGTGGACAGGTTTCAACGGAGCTTCCAGCCTAAAACAGCTAGGAAGAAGGAGTAGCAAATCCCTTCTGAAGGGTTAGCCACTGAAAACCTTATGAATAGCAGTGGAATCTTTTCTGATATAGTGTCGGAAGATGAGCCCCTCAAGTTGGAAGGCACTAAAAAAACAACTGGAGAAGAGCCGCCTCCTCAAAGTAAAGTTGATCTCCATCATGTGGATGGAGCAAAGTTTTCGAGATCTCCATTGTTAATGAGGCACAACTCAAAATGAGAAGAAACAACTGCAAACATCCATTACTAATCAGAATGTGGAATGTACAAAGTATGAACCTAGGAAAATAGGAAGTACTAAAGAATGAGGTGGAATGCATAAAGATCTATATCGTAGGCATTTTATTGTTATTAAGTGCCAGTGAGTCAGTTCTGACTCATGGCAACCCTGTATAGGGTTTCAAGGAGCAACTGCCAACCTTGTGGTTCAAACCAACCTTTGCTATCCAGGGCTTTCTCCTATAGCACCACACCAGGACTCCATAGCCTAGGCATTAGTGAGGTAAAATGGACTAGTACTGGCCATTCTGAATTGGACAGTCATATGACTTACTATGCTGGGAATGACAGATTAAAGAGGACTTCATATTCATCGTCAAAAGAGCATTTCAAGATGTATCTTGAAGTGCAATGGTGTTTGTGCTAGAATAATATCCATATGCTATAAAGAGGGGCAGTTTAACATGACTGTTACTTAAATTTACACACCAACCATTGAAGCCAATGATGAAGACATTTAAGAATTCTACCAACGTCTTCAGTTTGAAATGGATCAAATGTGTAATCAAAATGCATTGATGATTAGTGATTCAAATGTGAAAGTTGGAAACAAAGAGGAAGGATCAGTAGCTGGAAAATATGGCTTTGGTGATAGAAATGATGCTGGAGATCTCACAATAGAATTTCGCAGGATCAACAGCTTATTCATTGCATCAACATTTTCAATAACATAAACGGCAACTATACACATGGACCTCCCCAGATGTAACACATAAGAATCAAAATGACTACATCTGTGGAAAGAGACAATACAGAAACCAGATTATCACTAACTAAATCAAGGCCAAGAGCCAAACGTGGAACTGGCCAGCATTTGCTCATATCCAAGTTCAGGCTGAAGCTGAAGAAAATTCAGACAAGTTCACAAAAGCCAAAATATGACCTTGAACATATCCTCCCTGAATTTAGAGACCATTTCAAGAACAGATTTGAGGCATGAGACACTAATGATCATAGACCAGATGAGTTATGGGATGACATCAAGAACACCATACAGGAAGAAAGCAAAAGGTCAATAAGAAGACAGGAAAGAAAGCAAAGACCAAAATGGATGTCTGAAGAGACTCTGAAACTTGCTCTTGAGCATAAAGAAGCTAAAGTGACTGGAAGAAATGAAGCAAAAGAGCTGAACAGAAAATTTCAAAGGGCACCTTGAGAAGACAAAGTCAAGTATTACAATGAAATGTACAAAGACCTAGAGTCAGAAAACCAAAAGGGAAGCACACACTCAGCATTTCTCAAGCTGAAAGAACTGAAGTAAGAAATTCAAGCCTCAGGTTGCAATATTAAAGGATTCTATGGTCAAAATCCATTAACACAGTATTTATACAGACAACAGTACATGCAGAGCAATGCTGGGGTTGTGAGTTCAAGCCTCACCTGGCGCACGACCCTTTTGGAGTCCCGGTGTGGTGCTGTGGGTTAATGCACTGGACTGCAAAGTTGGTTTGAACCACAAGGTCGGTGTTTCAAGTTCACCAGCAGTTCTTCATAAACCCTATACAGGGTTGCTATGGGTTGGAACCAACTCGATGGCACCTAACAACAACAAATTGGCAAAATAGCCTTGAAAACCCTACCGAGCAATCTACTCTGTAAAATGGGGTCACTGAGTCAGAATCAACTTGATAGCAGCTAACAACATTTTATTTGAACCCCTAATCAATGCTCATGGAAGCAGCAGTCAAGAAATCAAAGGATATATTGCACTGGGCAAATCTGCTGTAAAAGACCACTTTAAAGTATTAAAAAGAGCAAGGATGTCACTTTGAATACTAAGGTGTGCCTGACCCAAGTCATGGTATTTTCAATCACCTAATATGCTTGTGAAAGCTGGACAATGAATAAGGAAGATCAGAGAATAATAGATGCATTTGAACTATACTGTTGGCTAAGACTGTTGGAAGTACAGAACAAACAAATCTGTGTTGAAAGAGAACAGTCAGAAAACTCCTAAGAAGTAAGGAGGCTGAGATCTTGTCTCATGGTCTTTGGCCACGCTATCAAGTGGAACCAGTCCCTGGAGGACATCCTGCTTGGTAAAGTGGAGGGTCAGTGAAAATGAGGAAGACCCTCAACAAGATGGACTGACACCGGGTGGGCAACAACAGGTTCACACACAACAACTGAGGATGGTGCCAAACCAGGCAGTGTTTTGTTCTGTTGTGTGTAGGGTCGCTATGAGTTGGAGCCAACTCGAGGGCACCTAACAAGAAGAAATTCCTAAAATAAGGATAATAATCCCTTTCTGAAAAGGGTTATGGGGAGAGCAAATGAGAAATACTGGTATGTAAGTGCCCAGTACAAAGGAAATGCACATAAAGGTCTCTTTTTTTCCCTTCAGATGCTCCCAGTGCCAGGGAGAAAGGAGGCAAAGTCAGCATCCATTCTGTTTATTGAAAGGGAAGGTGGGATGGAAGGCGTGCAAGATGGGGTGGGGCAAGGAGCACAAGGATGGGTTGGGCCTGGCCTGGTGGGGACTGAAGATCCTCCCAAGGGGTCTAGGCCACAACTGAATAGTATCAGGGAGGTGGTGAAGTGTATAAGTGCATCTCTCTAGCTGTCTTGGAGCTCCCCCTAGTGGTGAAGAAAGGATACACCAGGTCAGGCAAGGAGCTTGAAAGATGGAGAGGCTGATCACTCCAAGATCACATTGCTGGGAGGACTTTGCAGGGCAAAGACATCTCAGTTCTATTGTTGTTATGTGCCGTGGAGTCGGTTCCGACTCATAATTACACTGTACAGGGTTTCCGAGGCTGTAAATCTTTACGGGAGCAGAAAGCCTCCTCTTTCTCCTGCGGAGCAGCTGGTAGTTTCAAACTGTTGACCTTGCGGTTCACTGCCTGATTCGTAACCGCTAAGCTACCAGAGCTCCTTCTCTTAGAGAGCACTTAAATTCATGTCCAAAATACTTTTCAAGCTAAGTGCCATCAGGCTTCCCTGCTAGTTATTTCTGGGCCCAAACTGTCTTCTGTCCAGTGGATACCCAGGGAACAAGGACAGTGAGAGGCCCTGAACAGAGCTGCCCAGGAGACTTCTGAAGATGTGGATTAGAGTCCCTGAAGACTGCCTTGCTGTGTGACCTTGGACAGAACACCTCTCAGCCACTTTCAGCTCCTTTATCTATAAACTGGGCTTAATAATAATAGTTCCACGATGGAGCGGACTATGGGGCTCTGATGCCAAGTATAGAAAACATACTGTGGAGGGTATATTAGGGTGCTTTCACAGCATTCTGGAGGGGAAGGTCGAGTGAGCATCTCAGACCCATCCTAATGGGTGAGAGAATGACCCCTTACCACTCCCCTCATCTTTTGTCTACATAGGGCAGTGCTTATACCTGGGAGGAAGGAATAGGAAAGCCACAGAATTTAGAATCCAGTCCACCCAAACCCCGTAAAGTACAGTCAGAAATTGATGGTCTGGAAGAGTAAGGGGCTTGCCCACGTTCACACAGTGGAAAGAACAGGAGTTAGGTTGAGACAGATACTTTCTGTCTCTTGCAGGGCCTTGGAAAGGAGTGGGTATGACCTCTTAGGAGGAGTTGGGGAAGATTGGCATCTTGGATGAGTCATGATCCTACCTATAGGGGAGAAACTCCAGGTCACAAAGTGTGTGTATCAGTCGTATCAGTCGGTCTTTTGAGGGGCTTGAATGAAAGGGACCCTGTTGGAAGGGAGACAATGGAAGGGCATGTTGTGGTGGGGAGGGAGAAGGGCCCAGACCCCTGGCTCAGCTCCTCCTCTGGTCCAGTGGACAGCTCAGGAGTCCCGCCTGGGCTGGATGGTCTGCACAGAGGATTGCCCAAAGGGACTGGCAGGTGGTGAGAACCATGATTGGCTGCTGGCATCACGGAAGATGGGGGACAGCTGCTGTTCTGGTTCATCCCCAAAGACCTCCACATGGCTGTCAACTTCGGTGTCCACGGGCTCTGCCTTGGAATCCTGGCTCAGCCAGCCGGTCATGGCCCAGAACAGGCAGATGGCTAAGAGGACTCCAGCTGCCCCACAAAGCATCGTGCCCGCCAGGCGGCAGGTGCTCAGGGCCTGGTTATAGTCGGCTGCCCGCTGATCCAATACCAGGAACTCACCCTCGCCAATGCCCTCCAGCTTGGGGGGCACTGCATAGCCAGTGGTCAAGGCTGCCACACCCAGCAGCAGAAGGAGGGTCCCCGAGGACAAGCTGATCTGGGGAGAGGAAGACAGACCAGGAAGCAATCAGGGCCAGCCAAGGTCTTGAGGTCAAGGGGTCACCTTGGATCCCAATGGGACTTAAAGGTACCTCTTGGCCCAGCCTTAAGAATTGGGAATCACAGAATATACTTGCTGGGGTCTAACTTACAAGGACTCAGTAGTATTCTATTTGGAATCTTGAAACTTCTTGGTTAATTTCCTTCCCAGTGCCCACCCAGTAGGGGTTTCTCCTGCCAACCTTGAGTCCTCCTCTGTAATATTTGAGCCTCATCTTATCCCCATGTCCCTTCTACCCTCTTTCTCTCTTTTAACACCTTCATGTTCCTCAGATCTCATCTCAAACCTCAGGGAAGCCTTCCAGGTTATCCCCAGCCTCGGTCAGGTAGGTCCCCCTGCTCTGTATTCAGGCAAGCACTGGGCCCATTCACTCTTTGGTTTGTTCACCTGAGTGCACACTTTGACATGCATTTTTGTTTTTATGTAAGTGATGAGGAACATGTTATCTAGTGTTAAAGCACTCTGCTGGAAATTCAAAGTTCTGTAGTTCAAACCCGCTAGCTACTCCATGGGCTATTACAGCCTTGGGAACCCTAAGGTGCAATTCTACTTGGTCCTGTAGGGTTGTTAGGAGTTGGCATAGACTTGATGGCAACAGGTTTGGATTTTCATTTGTTTTTTTAGTATCAGTGATGTCTGAGAGGTCCATGAGAGCAGGACTGTGTCTGTTTGGCTCACTCTGTGTCCCCCGCATCTAGCACAGTGATGCTGGGTTACTAAATGGGCCACAGCTACAAGTGCCTCTTGTTGTTGTTAAGTAGTACCGTGGTGGTGGTTCCGACTCATAGTGACCCTGCACAGGGTTTCCAAGGCTGTAAATCTTTATAGGAACAGAGAGCCTCATCTTTTTCCTGCGGAACAGCTAGTAGTTTTGAACTGCCGACCTTGCGGTTTGCAGCCCGATTCGTAACCACTGTGCTACCAGAGGTCCTTACAAATGCCTCTAGGAGCTCATAAAAAGGAGGAAAAGACCATGCCTCACAATGAGAAGATGCCCACAAATTTTAGTTCCATTCTCAACCTCTTCCTGGATGCTTTTTTTTTTTATCTTGCAGACACTGAGGTCATTTCCTTTCCTGGCATCCTCTGTATTCCTGGTCTGGACTTGTATATTCACTATGCCTCTGTTTCCCTAGATGTTTAGCAAAGAGCTGTACCCATTATAGGGACTCAGCTCACTGCCCCCTCCACACCTGTACCCATGTATATCCAGGCCTGACCACTCCCCCTGACTGCCAGTGTGTCCCATCCCCCAGCCATGGTTTCATGGTTACTGGTTCAGGAATGGACAAGTGACCCAATCAGAGCCAATGTGATGCTCGCCAGAACTTCTGGGAATGAAAAGAATTGCATCTTTTCTGAAGGCACTCCTGGAAAACATTCTCTAACTTCCCTTGGATGGTGTGTGTAGTGAAGGTCTAGGATCAGCATGGCAGCTAGCATTGAGAAGCATGTCTGAAGGGTCTGAAGCTGAGAGTGGGCTATATGGACCTTGGGCAGCCTGAAGACAAAGCGAAACATTAAGAAGTCTTTAGTGGGATGGATTGAACTGACCGAAGTCACCCAATCTCTGGTCTTTTCTATCAAATGATACTATTTTCCCTTTATTGTATAAAACCATGTGAATTGGGTTTTCTGTTGTTAGACCAGGTAGACTCCTAACTGCTATACCATACTTTTTCTTTCTGTCCTTTGAGGCTCAGTTCAGTCCCACAGGAAATCACAAGAGGTGTTCTTCTGCCAGCCTTACCTTCCAGCAGAGTGAGGGCCAGGGCCGGTGTGGGCACAGGACTGGGGGCCCCTCAGGGTCATCACTGAGGGCCGTACCTGCACAGTCCTCATAGAAGAGGTGGATATAGGAGCGAATCCCATACCACTTGCCATCCTCCACGTTGGGGCTATGGCTGCAGCCACATGAACGCTCACAGCTCAGCATTGTGGATCCCTGATTACAGTCAACAGAGGGAAGGGTTAGTGAGAGCTACCCAAGGCAATCCTCCTCCCAGAGCGCCCTGAGTCTTTGAGTTTCATCCACTTCTCCTCCCACGTCTAGACACCCCACATTCACAGCACAGCTAGCCTTCTGAACGCCTATCCTATCTTTCTCTAAGTACACTGAGAATGAGCCAATGCATTGACACGCTTAGCCCACTGCCTGGCAATTATTGTTGTTGTTGTTAAGTGCTGTCGAATCGGTTCCGATCCATAGTGACCCTGTATGGAGTTTCCAAGGAGCAGCTGGTGAGCTTGAACCACCAACCTTGCAGTTCAAACAGCTTTGCAGTCTGGTGCATTAACCCACAGCGCCACAGCAGGACACTGCCTGGCAATTATAGGTGTCAATATATGTGGGTATTTAATCCCCACTCAGTGGCTGGAACTGTGGGCTCTGAAACCTTCACCCCCCTCAGCCCCAATTTCCTCATCTATACAAAAAGGCTAATAATCAGACCTGCTTCGTTCAGGTATTGTATCTGGTACTCAAACAGTCACTTTTATAATTATTATGGCTGTAATTTCTTTATGATTAATTCCATCATGAGCTTCCATCATGAACTTGCATCATATCTGGGGCAAGAGATCCTTATCCGCATTCCACTTTAAGTTCCCCACATTCAATGCCTCTCCTGGGGGTAACTGTCACTTGTCCAATCAGTCAGTGCTCCCAAGCTGTAAGGTCCTGAAAAGTCCCTCCCTAGGCTGCCTCTTGGAAGGCAAAGACAGCCTCCAAGTCCCATGGAAACTTCATTCCACCGGAGGTGACAGTCAGGAGCCCTCAGGTTTAGAAGCTCTTACATTTGAGGACTATTAGATTTCTTAGAGGAACCCTTCTTGTCACAAATGGAGGCATGGGAACTTCAAGAATAGAAGGTACTTGTGTATATACACAAAGGTAAGGTTTCAAAACCAATAGCCAAAAGGTGGGAACAACTGAAATGATCATCAACAGATGAATGAATACAAAAGCTGTCACATGTAAGCAAATATATAGAAATCACAGATTCTTTGTGGTTACCAGGGGTAAGAGGGTGAGAGGGAAAGGGAAAACTTTTGCTTAGGAGGCAGCATTTATGTTAATAGTGGCAGAATAATTTGGGAAAAGGACATCAAGAATGGTTGCTCACATTAAAGAAATTAATCAATGTGTCAAGTCGGTTCCGACCCATAGTGACCCTGTATAGGGCTTCCAAGGAGTGGCTGGTGAGCTTGAACTGCCGACCTTGAGATTCAAACCGACTCTGCAGTCCAGAGCATTAACCCACGGTACCACACCAGGAGTCCCACTTAATTATACATGTAGAAATTGTCGAATTGGTATGTTGGTTGTGTGTATTTTCACCTAGGGAAGGGCTGGGTTGTCTGCCTCTCCTCAGACTCCCCTTTGCATTACACACATACACACACACACACACACACACACACAGTGGCCCTCAGACACTCTGAGCAGCTTCAAATGAAACAAAACCATGTCCTTGCTCTGAAGAGTAAGACAAATCTCTAGGCCCCTCACTTCCAATCAGATATGGCCCTTAAATCTTCCCAGAAACTCACAGCACACATATGAACACACATGAACACAGAAACAAAGAAACATATCCAGAGATACAGGCACATACCACACAGAGAGAGACACATACAGATAGTCACACATCACAAAAAACACAGGCGCACTTATACACACACTACAGAGACACACGAGATAGGCACAAAGGCACACCACACAAAGATATGCATTCGTAGGTACATAGGCCACAGAGGTGCATACACAATACAATGTGCATTTGGAGGTGGGCTTCTTGGAGGCCCTGATGAGCCACACAAATGCACAGGACTGTTGTCCAGAAAGTCTGCCCATAAACCACGGCTCTTCCATGAATCCCCTCACCCATAATTCTGAAGAGAAACGAAAAAATAAAACAGAATGAAGAGCAGCAGCGTAGAGAGCAGCTCGCCCCAGGAGGTGGGCGGGGCTGCCTGGGGGCGTGGTCAGAGCCACAGCCTGCTCCAGCCTGAGGGCTAGGAGGCTGGGGTAGCGAGAACCGCTAGGGCAGGAGGGGCATTCGGAACTTCAGGGAAGTGACCATTAAGTAAAGGTCCTACGTGAAGGAGGAGTCCTGGTGCGGCGCTGTGGGCTAATGCGTCAAACTGCAAAGTCGTTTGAACAGCTAGCTGCTCCTTGGAAACCCTATCAGGGTCGCTATGGGTCGGAATCGACTCAAAGGCACTTAATAACAACAACGTGAAGGGGCGAAGAGGAAGGGGTGCTCAGGTATATTCATCTGGGTCAGCTGCTCCCCTGCAATTCAGCCCCCGCCAGCACTCCCAATATTTATAAAAGCACTCAATCCTGCTGGCCCCAGAGAAGGAAATTGACCTTGACGTTATCTCCCGCCCCCCTTGGGCTGGCCTCTCTCGCTCCCATTTTAGGGGTGTCGCAGGTAGGCGGTCTGGTAGGTTGGGGGCCAGAAGGTGGTGTAGTGGGGACCGGGCACTCGTTGCCATGGGAACAGCTGGGCGGGGTCCCAGGTCGGGAGGGAAGAGGAGCTCAAGAGAAAGGGAACGGGAAGAGGAGGGGACTGAAAGGGAGAGACTGCGATGGAGGAGGAGAGGGGAGAGAAGCGTACAGGGAGTGACTGGCGTGAGGGCCTGAAGATGGCTAGTGTCTCTCTTCTCCGCCTGGCCTCCACTCTCCGTTCTCCCTCCGCCCACTGTGGCGTCCAGCGCAGCCCAGATCGGGCGAAGGGACGCTCCAGGAGGGCTAGGTCTGGGAAGTCTGGCCTCTGCCATCTCCCGCCCTGTCCCCATTAATTTCTGACCGGATGGTCAGAATTTAACTGCCATCTTTCTCCTAAGGAGAAATTGAGACAGACAGAACGGGCTGGAAATAGGTTTTTAGAGAGGTGGGTGGGGTCTTGTCCTTTTAAAACACAGTTCAGCCAGTTAACCTTGAGGTGTCAAGGTGCGACGGGGCTGGAGCAGTCCTTGTCTCCCCTCTCCCCCTTCCCCCCCCCACTACCCTGGGACCCTGGGATTCCCATCTCCCCAAACCCGAGGCTCTTCAGGGCTTGGGCACTGCCGTCCTGCAGTGGCAGGGTGCGGCCAGAGCTGAAGATGCAGGCTCGGGTTGAGGGGTGTCTCCGGAACCCCTGGGAGGGGCGGGGTAGGGGTCGGGCGCGCTTGGAGCAGCGGCTGATCTCACCTCTCTGCCTGCTGCCTCCGCTGGAGCAGAGCATGAGCCGGCTTGGTCCGCGCCTGCGCTGCAGTGGGGGGCGGGGGTGTTCCGGGGGCGGAGGTGGTTCGGGAGCTGGCGGACTAGAGGTACCCGAAAGCCCCAGGGGCTAGCTCTGCGAATTTCACGCCCTGTAATTGCCGAGCCCCCTCCCCTCCCAGAGTTCCATTCGCTTCTTTCTGAAACCCCCAGGCTTTTCTTGGAGACCCCGGAGCCCTCAAACTCTTCACCAAAGTGCCCATCTTCCTCTCAAGCCCCAGCACTTCTCATTGAAGGCTCATATCTTCACTGAGCCTTTATCTCTTCTCTGAGGAGTCATCCTCAGACTCCTGTCTGGGTTTTTCTCCCCTTGGGAGCCGCGGTGGCTCTGTAAAATAAGCACGGAACTGCAAACCAACAGGCCGGCAGTTTGAGTCCACAAGCTGGTCCGTGGGAGAAAGATGAGGCTTTCTGCTCCCACAAAGAATTACAGCCTTGGAAGCCCTATGCTGGATCACTATGAGTCCACTTGGATGGCAGATAACAACAACAACCTTTATGGGAGCCCATCAACAACAATCTCTTGGAGCCCTGAATGGGTTCTAATCGTTAACTTTTGGGTTAGTTAACAACCATAGATAGCATGAGATGGTTGGACTAGCAGTCTCCAGAGCATATTTGAGGAGTCTACAGCAAGGAGAGAGAAAGGAGTTTGCAGTTAAACTGCTTAACTAATGTGCCACTAGGGTTCCTAGAGTTGACCCACGGAAGCCTCGTGTCCAGGCTTCCTCATCAGTTGGCCTCTAGCTGAGCATAGTCAATGGGAGCATCAAGGGGAGATTGAAGGGAGAAACCAGGGTTTTTCTCCTCTTCCTCCTCCAGGTTCCCTAACCTATCCTAATACAAACATTCCATCTCAAAAATGATTCCTCTTCACACTATCCCCTTCACCGTATGACATCTTGTATATGAATTTATCTGCTTACTTACTGTGTGTTTCCACCCACTAGAGTATAAGCTTCATGAGGACAGAAACTCACTGATGAATCCCCAGTGCCTAAGACAGTGCCTGGCATACAATAATAAGTGCTCAGTAAAGATTTGTCAAAGGAATGAATAAATTCAGCACTGGAACCAAACACAGGCAGGAGACAAGGAAAAGCTCTAAGGCTCATCTGACAAGTAGCCATCGTCTGAAATAAAAGCCAGAGAGGTCAGGTGACTTCTTTAAGTTACATAGCAAACCCTTCACTGACCTCAGACTCAGGCTTCTAACCACTCTAGGTTTTAATCCATCAGTGTCCAGGTCTCCAAAGAGATCGACAGCCTTAGGTTTTTGTTTTGTTTTTTAAGAAAGAGAACTTGACATTTAACTAAAAGGAAATCCTGAAAACAGCCGAGGATGAGAAATTGGGTTGCTAAGAAACTCCCAATGATGAGGGAGAGGGTTGGCATCCATTGCTAGGCAACCTAGAGGCTAGACAACAGGGAGGTTTGAATGCAAACTCCTTTTCTCTCTCCTTGCTGTAGACTCCTCAAATATGCTCTTGAAGACTGCTAGTCCAACCATCTCATGCTATAAAAAGGGAAACTGAGGCCTCAAGAGGCAAGATGACTAGTTCCTAGTCGCTCTGATTCTCCAACAAGAGCAAAAATAAATGTCATGAGAGGGCATTGTCACTGAGGAGTTATGGCATAACTGTGGGGTAGAGTTCCTAACTAATGAG